ATCGACTTGAAATTTCTTGACTTATCCTAAAATTTCATTAGCTGTCGATCAATGAAAAAATCAGGACGAAAAAATGTACAGAAGGATAATTATAAGGATATTAACTTTTTTACTTCGAACGGTCGGAGTGGTCTGTCTAGACCACGCATACATTTTGTATGAAATATACGCTTTTTGATATATGTAAACCAGTATTTTGTCTTTTTTCTGGTATTTTCTATTTAAACTGCATTTTATATATTCTTTGCTATGTGTTGTAACATGCATGTTAGTATTTTCACGACGTGAATTCCTTGAAAACCTACCAAACTTATTGGTCATCGCAAACAGTGAAAATCGGATGAGTAATGCGTACATTATCAACAATTTTTCTACCCGTACTGCGTTCGAAAATTTTTTTGGCAAACCTGTAGTGAAATTATGTTTTCAACTTGAATTTTACAGCTCATTTCAACGGCGACGCACCTCATTTCGTTTTCATTTGAATTTCACATTCATTTCAAAGAAGCCGAAAAAGAATAAATATTGTTTTTCATTGATATAAAATAAAAAAATAAAAATAATAAAAAAGCAACGTTTTTTTTATATGATTTGATTTTTTTTATATAATATAATATAATATATACATTTTTTATTATAAGCAAGCTTAACACATGCAAAAGACGGTAAGAAAAAGAAAAAATCAAAACTATAAATATTTACTACTAATAATCGTTAACATACGAGTATAAAACACCATAAACTCATTTACCTCATATAAATGCATGTAAAATGAATGGTGGTCGAGCCAGACCACTCCGAGCGTTCGAAGGTGAATAAATATCCTACCGAGGGAGGGTTAATTAAATAATCTAAAAAAATATCGAGGACGGATGGCTAGGAAAATCCATTGCTTATTTCACCCTTAGCAAAATCAAAATTTACTAGATTCTCGGCCAATTACACAATTTCTTGCTGCTTCATGTCAATAATAATTATCTGATTCAATATAATATCTCCCGTGTATATCAAAATCTATTCTTCTATAATTTGCCAAGTGGACAAGTGCTATGGGCTAATTGCCAAAAACCGATAACTATTACTTTATTTTCATTATTATTATTATTATTATTGTTTTAATTATTATTATTATCACATAGCAGCACTTTGTGTTCTTTGTCGGTAACTATTTTGGGATGGCATGGAAATGTAAACAATTCGTGCACGCCAGAATTGTTTATACTAGAATTTGAATCGTATTAAGAGGTGGATTTAGGAATAATTTTATTACCGAGGAAAAGAGTCACAACATCTAGTATATATAAAGGGAAGTCGTTACTTTAAATACACAACAAAGAAGCGAGAGAATAATAAAAGCTGATTGAAGATATTATATACATCATAGTGACAACGAATTTGTGCATTTATTCATTACATCCATCCTAAAATTTAAATTAATTATCCAATGTGAATGAAATGTTTGGAAAATTTGTACATAATTAAATACTCTATAATATGGTCTAATATTATAAAGCTCTGCATCAACGCACTATGCTTTAAAATGACTTTCGATTACATATAATTATCGTAAAATTTCATGCGAGAATTGTGCATTCATTTATATTCCTATAATTTTTAACCCTTTCCACTCGAATGCCGCCACTCCGGTGTCAAAAATGTGAGTGGAAAGGGTTAAACCACTCGATCAATATGAAAGATGTATTTGGGAAATGTATATAAAATTAAATACTCCATAATTATGCCTAATTTCATAGTCCCCTATAGCAAGTTGGTGAACTTTGAAATCAATTAAGAAAGTACGAAATCAATTCAAGCACTCGGCTTAGAGATTAACGGCTTTAGTCATTAGTATATTTATTTATTGCGTTAATTGTTATCTATAAAACTTTTGAAAATGTATTTGAAATATTCAGTAAATGCTTAGACAATTAAATAACTGTTAATAATTTCTGCCCCACAGCTACTCTGCATACTCCAAAACTGCATACAAAAATGAACATTTTTTTTTATTATTATTACAAGTACTGCTTAACGTTTATTACCATTAGCATGAAATCACTTGTTAATTGAAATTTTCAATAATTTTATTATTTTACCATAAGGGACTCAAGGTCATACACCACTAGTTCTTTCTCTATTTATTGCGAATTTAGTTTAGTTTCTATGCAATCGCTAAAAATAATCGATAATATAACTTATGTACATACACAATATCTATTCTAATTCGGAACGTAAACAAATGTGGTCGGAAAATAGAAATATTTTAGCACAATTCAACGAGAAATAATTTAGAATAAATTTTGTAACCAGTAATAAAGTTCTACGAGATATTTATTTAGAACTAAAATAAATTTATTGATATATTTATTCATAATGCAATACTTAATTATAAACAATATGAGAGTTTCATGAATTATTTAATGTGTATTTAACAGAGATTTTTAAAATCGTTTGCAATTCGAATTTATTTTATTTCTGTTGAATCAAAGTGTTTTTCAGACGTGGTCATGAAATGCAAAGTGTAATAGAATTATTTATAACTCAAAATTTTGTGAGGATGGATGCTTACATTTTCATCATTTTTAGAATTTGTTATAATAGATACATTCAGGGCTAATTTGTGAAAATAACATGGATATAGTACATTTTTCCATGCATATGCATGTGCAGTCTGCAGCAGTAGAATTAAAAAAAAAAGTTGTAATTAAAATTATTTATGAATTTTATTATTTTTTGCAAAAGATACTTAAATTTCAAATCGGAATACAAACTATCAGTCAGGAATCTTGTAAATTAACAAAAATATGTGTACACGTTGCTCTATGAGTAGTTACACTATCGTGTTCGTATTTCTAAAGTGATAATTATTTAAATATGAATCCAATATTTGCATATATATAGGTATATATATATATATATATATATATATATATATATATATTAGTATTAATTTTTATGGGAGTCCCCATTCGATCGAATATTCATATTAATGACCTCACGGGTCAAATTTGGCACAAACACTTGTTCATTTTTTGTCCACATTTTTTATACACATATTTCAATATTCAATAAACACACACACATATATATATATATATATATATATATATATATATATATATATGTGTGTGTGTGTGTGTGTGTATACATATTTATATAATTAAAACATGTATACAATAGTTGTAATTGTAAAAAGATATACAACATAGCAGTATGAATTCAAACTAATAAAAAATATTTATATTGTTATAAATAATCATGTAAATTGTTTAATTTGTAAATAAACACATTTCTTGTTTGTTTAAATAAATAATTACAATAACAAACAGGAACATTAAGATAAAGTTTAGTTTACTCTAGCTGTGTTTCGTACGAATATTATTTTATTTTATTTGTACATATTTATTATCTAAGTATTTTAATAAGATTATTGTTATTTTTTTTACTTCCTATAGTTGATTAATAATACCAGCCTGAGTCACCATATATAATGCCTAAATATATATGATTTCGGGTTGTGATATATGAATTCGGGTTGTGTATCTTAATTATATAATTAAATGAAAGTTAATTAGACCAGTATCTTGATAAATATTATTTTCCAACACCTGATTAGTATGAAAACAAACAAATATATGGAAAGACATAACAAATATTAAGGCCATTAGCAGTTTTTGTTTAATGAGCGTAAATGTTCATTAGCGAAAGATTCAAATGGAATAAACAATATGTGTCCGTAAATACACACACATGCACACACAAACATACACATATATATATATATATATATATATATATATATGTATATAAGGAATAATGTGCTCTTTGCTGATACAAATGCATACGAAAAGTTATTACAAAGTTTAAAACAAAATTGCAGTTTTCCCTTAATTATCTTACAATTTTTCTAATGAATATAAAAACATTTATTTAACGTATTAGTTCTCACTGTATCTATTATATCGAAGGGTTCTAACATTAACAAGTGTTTTTCACAAAATTCTGAATTCTAATTTTTTTTAATAAAAGCTTGCATATTTTTGCTGTTTATATTCAAAGAACTTCACAGGATGCTCCTTTTGTGTTACGATCTGGAAATTCCAGTATTTTTTCATTGTAGTATATAGTATAATAATAAACAGTTTATTTAATGAGTCTCCAAACATAATATTGAGTTGACCACGATTATATGAAACTCTGCACTTTTAGATTTTATTTTGCATAATACACATATGTGTGAAGAATCGTTTCTATTCAAAGAGCTCTACAGGACGCACGGTTCGTACTACGATCTTGTCAGTGTCTCTAATAAAATATAAAATATTAAAATTGATTAGTTTTTTCTCAAAATGTTGAGTTACGACGAACTAGATCATAAAACAAAAATTCAAGGCACTAATAATTCTATCAGACTTCATATATCTTGACCGTATCTTAAATCGATTCATATCTGTGGAAAATTGTTCTAATTAAAGAAGCTTCTTAGGACGTACAGTTTCTACAACGACCTTGCAATTCGAACATAATATACCTTGATGTGCACATGACTATAACAAATACTAAAATCTTATATATAATGTAATATATAAGATTATTATAAGATTATATGTAATGTTATATATATATGTAGATTTTAATATTTTTTAAAAGAAAAGTACGCAAGACGCGACCGATTTTTGTGAGCTTAGGAATTCATAGACAGGGCGCATTGTGTTATAAATTTCTAATTCTCAATGTCCTTCAACTATTTAATGAATCTAGTTTAATATATCGTCACAAATATCGATTTTATAAGATATCCACGTCCTACACATTAATTATGAACAAATCCTCTGATAAGAATCGATTGAGTGTTTGTATGTGATAATAACAGGTGAGTCATCTACATACAAAATTTATTCAAATCGTGCAAGGTTGAGGGCATTATAGACAGAGAGCAGTGGAAAAAATCGTAGATCAGGAAATCGAATTATACAGAGCGTTTTTTTTACCAATTTCAGATCCAATCTTCTAGACACCATCTCTATATATATTGGCCAAGAGGTATTCCCGCGATGTCCACACCGCTCGTCGACAATCCCCTCAATCCCTTTTGACACCGATCCGGAAGCCAAGGATGAAAACCATCATCATCATCACTGACTTCGTCATCGATTCGATGATGAACTAGAAGACTGATCTTCATCTTCATCTTCGAGATGACGAAGAAGTTGGAGTTCAACTGGCACATACCAGTGCCAGATGCTCTTCTCAAGGGAGATGTCTTCGATAGATGGACGGAGGATAAGGACAGCACGGATTTGGAGCTGAATTGCACCTTCAAGGTGGACGAGTATGGGTTCTTCATCTATTGGAAGAGCGAAGGAAGGGTGAGTAGAAAGTAGGAAGTATCAAGGAATCTAATTGTATATGTGTGAGCAAATGAGTATGCAAAGTGGAGTTAGAGTGTGTTTAACATATGGCTTCGAAAATCTATTAACGAGATTACGTTTTAGGTTTCTCCTTGAAGTCTGTTTATTGGATTTGCTAATTTAATACCAGTATTTATGGACTTCAGGCAATAATCATTTATATATATTTATATGTGTGTGTGTATGTGTGTGTGCAGATGTATATTTATATACATCTTAAATATTGTTGTTTGCTAAGAAAAATTGCGGTTCTTGTTGAATTATGTGATTATGCAAGCCATCATTGAAAATATTGTTGACAACTACAAAATAACCATACAATGCACCAAGTTCAGAAATTTTGATAAACAATACTTATTTTTTACCATTATATTTCGTATATGGCATTTAAAAAACCCTAGAGCTGAAAGATACCACAAAAATGCCTGGAATTTAAAAAAAATACTAAGTTTATTGAGGTGCTTTGAAATTTTCTTATTTCTATAGATTCTGTTAACAATTCTTTGATCTTTGCTGTTTTTTGTGAATTATTCATTATATCATGATGCTTCTTCAAAAACAATTCGATCAGCATTCAATCAAATGATTCAAATCAAGTCATACGTTAATTATTCCTAAAATTCTATCAATAGATCTATATGTAAATAAATTCTATTCTGGTATCACACTCAACAAACACTAACAATTTTATCCAATCTCCTAAACTATTTTTATAGATCTACTATCATCGACCCATTTCAAATCAATTACAAGTCTATTTGTCTCGTAGTCGTAAAAACCGCAAGTAAACATAGACAGGATATAAAATTATCTACTTTTAGGCAAAAATAGATCAATTTCACCTGATAATTAGTCAATGTTTTCCATCTTGTCTTTGATCTTTTTTCCAGATGATTACCTCACGGTTAATATTTTTTCTGGTCGGATGAAAATAGTTCAAATTATTTTCGTGTAAATATTTTTGCACGATTTTTAATTCTATAAATAAATAGTTTGTTTGTATAGTCGTAAAATTATCTGTCGATATCGAAATTATTTTTGAAAAGGAATTCTATTAATTCAGTATGAGTAAAATTTTAATATTCTATTTTTATTTTATTTCACCAAAGCCATTCGCCAATATATTTGGAAGATGTTTTCAAATTATTAGTTTGCGTGATACAATTTCTAGAATACCTTGCTGATGTTTGCTTGATTTTGTTAATGTGTGCTTAATAATTCTGCTGTTTGCTCAGCTTTACTGAAATGTGATAATATTTTGTCGATTTTTGCTTGATTTTTGATAATTTTTCTTAATTTTGTTTTTGTTTAATTTCTGCAGTTTTGTTAAATTTTGAAAATTTTTACAGAATTTAGCCCATGTTTACTTTATTTTGCTGACTTTGCTTAATTTTCCTGACCACTGCTTATTTTTTCAGACTATTGCAAAATTTTTTATAATAATCCTATTTGATTTGTCATTCTTCGGCATTCATAATATTTGGCAATGTTCCTCGAATTCTTTAGTCGTTATATTGGCGCCAGACAATTGGACGTCTGATATAGTGAATTCTTATTCATCGCTATTGATATTTTAAAAATAAAATTGACTAATTTTATTTTACCATTTGGCTAATATTTTTTCCCATTATTTGCAGGAAGGGGACGTCATCGAGTTGTGCCAAGTCAGCGACATCAGGGCGGGTGGTGTGCCGAAGGTAAGCAATAGATCGATTTACTAAATTTTAAAGCCGAAATCTTTGTATGATGTCAGAAATTATTGGTCCTCGTCTAAGGACAATGACCCGTCTCAATCGGTGAATAAATCGTCAACGTTCTCGATTTGATGTCTCTTCCTCGATTAGATGTCTTCTCCTCGATTTCAATTCGTCATATCTAAATTATACTTTGTTTCTTATTTTACGACAGGCGTTTTGATAAATTCGTCATTTTTATCCACGGTTTATTGCTTTTGTGTGCAGATCAGGGAGGAAATGATAAAGGGTAGTCGACTTGTGCTCAATCGCTGAGTCGATGAACCCATAAAGAAAAATGTCTGTGGAAAAGGGAAAATATATATTTATATTTACGCTTTACTTACTGATAAATTAGTTGTATTATAAAGTTACATAAAATCACAATTGTATAGTCGTTCTGGAATAGATCGTAAAATATATTTGCAGGAAAAAATTATCATTTGCGTTCGCGAACTATTTGCATTTTTTTATGTCTTTACAGAATTGTTATTATTTTTTGTTTCTTCGTAACATTTTTTGTAATTTTTTCGTTAATAATTGATTCTCTTGCATTCTAAGTTTTATTACTTATTTAATTGCTTGCTGATTTTTGTTGCGTTTTGATAGGTTTATCTGCCTTTTTTGTCAAGGATTTTATCTAGATTCTAGATGCTGCTATTTTATTATTTGCTGATGTTTTTGTTTGCTAGTTTTCCAATGTGTGCCGATTTTTTTAAATTGATTATTTAAAATTTTCTGGTTTGCACATGCTTATTTTTGTTTCTGAAATTTTTAATTTGCTTTTTTTATTTCGTAATTGCTCATGCTTAATATTTACTTGTTTTCAATTTGAATTTTTTTGCTATTTATAATATTGATGCTTGCTGATCTTCTTTGTTGAAATTTTAGTCGACTTATAAAAATCTATACTTTTATAAAAATTGGTGACTGTCTTGATAATACTGACTAGTCTTGAAAAGTGAAAATGAATAATATTAACTAAATATTTAGTAATACGTTTCCTGAATTTTACTGATTTTTATCATGTGAATCTGGTTTTAAAGCAGTTGTTAAAATTTATGATTTTAGACTAAACATCCTTGTAGATTATGATGACACTTCACACTGTTTAATAACGGGTTCATTCCCCTAATTCCGCTCTGCGAAAATATGTATATAAACTGGAAGTTCACTACCCTTTCGAGTGGCCCCATAACATTAGGAAAATCCTACTCCACGCCAGCGTCGTCATTTCCCATTTTTCCTCCTCGTTATAGCGCAGTTTTTATTATTAATATTATATAACCTCTAAAGATTTATTTCTTTCTCGGCAGCAAAAGGGGTTTCAGATTCACTTTTTTTATTATGCCAGTTTTAATGTCCCACCGACCACTCTATTGTTGTGGATGTTGTTGTTGATGAGGTTGTTGGTTTCAGGAAGGAAGGAAATGGGCCATAAAATTTGTACGAAAAGGCGGATGAAAGAAATTAATGAGCAAATGAGTAGATGTTTCTTTTTGAGATAGTAGTTATGAGAAGTAATTTGAGTCAATTCCGAGTAAAATTTTTTGTAATTTTTCAAAAATGTTTTTGCAATATTTCTATGTATATTTTATATAGTTTCATTTCGTTTTATAGAATTTTCATTTTTTTTAATATTTGCTAATACATAACATATATTCTGATAACTATATAATTACGACTTCACAATTACCAGATTACATAATTAGCTAATAATATAATTAAGCCGATATTGAAATTATTCGATATGGATATATTAATTAAAGTTAATATTTTAACTGATTAAACCGAGTTGAGTTCCTCAATCAAAAAGTATCTAATTTAATAATATGGTATTGAAATTAGTATGGCACCTGTAGAAAATTGTACCTCGTCTTCTCCTGTTCCAAACACGTATAAGATGAGAGTCATTTACTCTCTCTCTAACCGCCTACAAGAAATAGGATATTCTTGAAGATACTTTTAACAAATTGCCGATTTTCGCCTAGGCCATTGACTTAGTTCTCTATCGGGTCGTCGAACTCATTTTCTTCCAAAAGGGGTTTTTCGTCCTTGGAAACAGAAGGATAAAACACGCACGGGTGTGCTGGGAATAGGGAGATAGAGGCAAATGGAAAAGTTGATCATTTACAGTGGTTTATGTAATATTATTAAGTGGTGTCATTCTTTCCCTTATCAGGAGCCTAATTCGAAGTTGACAAATCAACTCCTGGCAAAGCATGGAGATTTGGCATCTCTGGAAGAGAAGTCTTTGACAATTTGCAGCGGAACAGATTACATCAACATCAACTATCAGCATGTGATATGCACAGATGCTGAAACTGCCAAGGTGGATACTTATCTCTTTTAGCTAATTTGATATTTTTAGGTTTTCATCGTCGATTGTAATTCTTCGTCTTTCCTTTTCATCTTTATTAGTTTTTCTAGTAGTACTTCAAATAGTTTCAAATATTTTTTTCTCAAATTTAAACACCTTTTATTAATTTTCAACCATTTTCGTAAATTTTCAACCATTTTCATAAATTTTGTGTCAATTCTATGAATTTTAAATCAATTTTATGAATTTTGAGTTTTTATAATTCTTGAAACTTCATAAATGTTGCATCGTTACTATATAACAACGAACCATTTTTATAAATTTTTATCATCATAAACTTTCATAAATTTGAAACTTTTTCCAATTAATGATAATGGTCATTTAATCAATTTTGATCCGTTTTTATAAATCTTGATCGATTTATATAAATTCAGAACTTTTTTTATAAATTTCAAATATCTGTATGAAATTTGAAAATTAAATATTTTTATAAAGATTTAATTCTATCATTACTTTATATTTTTATTAATTTTTATGATGTTCAGCCCAGATTTAAATTTGATACTCTTTTCGTAAAATTTCAACAATTTCTATTACAAATTTAGTAGCATTTTTATAATTATGCAATTTTTATTGATTTTTTGCTATTTTATTGATTTTTTACTTTTTTCTTCAGATATGGCTGGATGGGCTGAGAAATATCACACACAATGTCAAGGCGAACAACTGTTGTCCGATGACTTGTCTAAAAAAACAGTAAGTATTTATATACTCATTTGATCTGTGTTTCCAAATCAATAACTTTTGATTTGATTACAATTATTTTCACTATCATCTCTTTTCTTCTTTTAGTTGGATGCGTCTAGGTTTTCTGGTTGATCCTAAAGGCAAGGTTCCTGTGAAGGTGGTGGCTAGAACTTTTGCCTCAGGAAAGACGGAGAAGCTAGTCTATCAGTGCCTGTCCGAACTGGGATTGCCTTCAGGCAAGAACGATACCATGGAGAGGGAAGATTTTACCTTCGATAAATTTTATGCCCTGTACCATAAAATTTGTCCAAGGAATGATATTGAGGAACTTTTTAGACAAATGTAAGGGAAAATATTTGATTATATAGATATATAATGATATTTATTCATAATTTCTGTTTCTAGTACCCAAGGAAAGGCGGATGCTATCAGCCTGGAACAGTTCATAAATTTCCTGAATGAGAAACAACGTGATCCGCGTTTAAACGAGATTTTATATCCGCTTTATGACGAGAAACGAGCTTCAGAAATTATAGTTACATATGAACAGGACGAACAAGCAAGAGCTGAGAGTAAGTGATAAATTATTTTGAGTATTACTTCATTTAGGTTTGTCATGATTTTTCTTTAATGGTTCATTGCTTCTCCTCTATGTAGAAAAATTGACCAAAGACGGATTGATCCGTTATTTAATGAGCGACGAGAATGCACCCGTATTCCTGGACAGATTAGACTTTTACATGGACATGGAGCAGCCACTCTCTCACTACTACATCAACTCATCTCACAACACTTATCTGTCTGGCAGACAATTTGGTGGTAAGAGCAGTGTGGAAATGTACCGACAGGTAAGCGTGATAATAATAATCCGACAAATCATGATGAGATGGTAAAAATCTGATTGTGAATCTATTTTCTCTAGGTTCTTCTAGCTGGTTGCAGGTGTGTGGAACTTGATTGCTGGGATGGTCGAGGGGAAGATGAAGAACCAATAATTACCCATGGTTTGGCAATGTGTACGGATATTCTATTCAAGGATGTCATTTATGCCTTGAGAGATACTGCTTTTGTCACGAGCGATTATCCTGTGATACTCTCTTTCGAAAACCACTGCTGTAAGGCTCAGCAATACAAACTAGCTAAATACTGTGATGAAATTCTTGGAGACCTCCTGTTAAAGGAACCTCTACCAGATTACCCAGTGAGTGTGGTTAAAATATTGATGCACATAATTTTAGAATAGTTTTTGTAATTTTTCCTTTATATAGCTTGAACCTGGTCAGTTACTTCCTCCTCCGTCTATGCTTAAACGAAAAATCTTGATAAAAAACAAACGCCTAAAACCAGAAGTTGAGAAAGTAGAATTAGACCTCTTTAAACAAGGTGAGTTTGTGATAGGCGAAGAAGAAAAGGAGGACGCATCTGCTATGATCAAAGAAGTGGTGAGTTTATATATCACAGTTTATATATCATATCAGTAAATTTGACATGTAATTAACTTTTTTTTTTATTTTAGCCAAATTTGACTGAGCCGATACCTGCGGATCCAGTAGCTGCCGTTGCTGATGAAGTAGGAGACGTCGCACCTCCAATTCAATATACAGGATCCACGACTAATGTTCATCCTTGGTTGTCGTCCATGGTAAACTACGCGCAACCTGTGAAATTTCAAGGATTTGATGTTGCAGAGCGTAAATATTTATATAATACTCCTTGTTCATCCTAATATTATGCATTACAAATATTAAATCTTTGTTTTTAGAAAACAATATACATTATAACATGAGTTCCTTTGCGGAGACTGCTGGTATGAATTATTTGAAACAACAAGCAATCGATTTTGTCAATTACAACAAACGACAAATGTCCAGGATATACCCCAAAGGCACCAGGGCTGATTCTTCCAACTACATGCCACAGGTAAAAATCCTATTAACTCAACAAGCATGCAGAAGAGAGTTTTTTACACAATTTTTTTTCAGATTTTCTGGAATGCAGGTTGTCAAATGGTGTCTTTGAATTTCCAAACATCGGATCTACCAATGCAGTTAAATCAAGGTAAATTTGAATACAATGGTAATTGTGGATATCTTTTAAAACCTGACTTCATGAGGAGAGCTGACAGAAGTTTTGATCCATTTGCCGATGCTCCTGTTGATGGAGTTATTGCTGCTCAATGTGCAGTTCAGGTAATAAATATAATTCTAATATTTATATTGTTTAGGTTTTCATAATTCCATTTCTATTTTAGGTGATAGCTGGTCAATTCTTGTCAGATAAGAAAGTAGGAACCTATGTAGAAGTTGACATGTATGGTTTGCCAACTGATACAATAAAAAAGGAATTCAGAACTCGCATGGTTCCAGCAAATGGTTTAAATCCTGTCTACAACGAAGAACCATTCTTATTTCGCAAGGTAAGGTAAACTATTTTAATAAGTTTTTGATTTTTATTGATGAATAATTGCTTTGTAGGTTGTTTTACCGGATTTGGCAGTTTTACGTTTTGGTGTCTATGATGAGAATGGAAAGTTGCTAGGGCAAAGGATTTTACCGCTTGATGGTTTACAAGCTGGTTATCGACATATATCTTTGAGGACTGAAGCTAACTTTCCAATGTCTTTGCCCATGTTGTTTTGTAATATAGAGTTGAAGATTTATGTACCTGATGGATTTGAAGGTAAAGAAAGATACAAATTATTTTCTATTTTGATGTTAGCAAATGTTATTGTTTATTTTTCCTCTAGATTTTATGGCAGCATTGTCAGACCCTAGAGGATTTTTGGGCGCAGCAGACAAGAGAATGGATAATATGAAGAACTTGGGTATAGAGGATACAAGTGGACAAGGTGATTGCAAGGAAGAGAAAAAGGAAGCCAAGAAGGAAGGTAATTTCATCCACTATTAAAAGTATTAATCAAATTCAGAACCTCATTTCTGTCCCTGTTTTCAGAGCCTCCACTGGTCTTTGAACCGATAACAGTGGACTCGTTACGATATGAGAAAGGCTTCCAGAAGACGGCCAAAAAGCAACAGAAAGACTTGGAGTCATTGAGAAAGAAACACATGAAGGAAAAAAATGCCATGCAAAAGGCTCAATGCAACGCCATCGAGAAGCTGATCAAAAACAGGAAGTACGAATTAAAATTATTAATGTATGTATTTATTTATTTTAGTTTGCTTATTATTTAAATAAAACTCTAATTCATAAGATTACAACAATGAGTAATGTACAATTAATGAATTAGTTAAATTTTTTAATATCGCTTTTAAAATTTTTATAACAAGAACTTGTTTGCTATAAAAAAATTATAATTAGCTTATTTTTATAACATGATTTTGAACAAATATTTTATTAAAAAAAAGAGGCTAAGTTTTATGGGCTGAAGTCTTATTTTTCCTAAGAATCTTACTTTTCTATTAGGAGGTTTTGAAACTAGTATCTTAGTATTGTTATGAGCTTTGAGACCTCAGTTTCAAAACAAGAGTTTAGTATTAAAGCTTCATGTAAATAGGCTTGTGTTTGCCATTGTAACAAGATTTTGAACTTTGTAGTTTCAATTGCGTTTTCAAAGTACATGTGGCTGCTTAATGTTAGAAAATGCTGTAAAATATTCAGTTATGCTTAAATTTGCCAAATATTTCATTACTATAAGATGCACGTTATAACAGTTACAAGAGTTGTAATAAATAATTGTATAATGCACAATTGAGTACATTGGGCTAATGCACGATTTTATTTATAGCACATAGGGCTAATGCATTATACTACTTATAGCACGGCAGGCTAACATCGTAATGATCAATTTACATAAATCGCTGTAACAATTTAAGGGTCGATTTCAGAGGTGACATGTGCCAAGATCCTCTTGTCCGGCAGCTGGTCTCAGAGCAGACCCAGCAATGGAGCGAACTGGCCGAGAGGCACCATCGCGAGGAGTGGAATCTGCTCAAGACCCAACTGGCTGATCAGCAGGACGTGCTCAAGAGGCTGATGGAGGCCGCCCAGTTAGCGCAAATGAAGCAGCTCGAAGCAAAACACGAGAGAGAGGTGAAGGAGATGAACTCGAGGCAGGCGAAGGCTTCGGTGGAGACGTCGAAGGAGGTCGCCAACGATAAGACGCTGAAGACAAAAGGGGAGAAGGACAGGAGACTGAGGGAGAAGAAGCAGAACAATATCAAGAAGTTTATGGACGAGAAAAAGGTAGATGGGCGAATAAGTGACCACCCCCTTGAAAGTACTCAACATTTTCAAAAATTAAAATCTTCAATATTTAACTTTAATTACCTCAGCAATTATAATTTCTAGTATTTTAATATTTATTAATATTCAAATCAGCACAATTCAATACTTCCAGTATTTAAAATTTTCAATAATAAAATTATTTGAATTATGCAAAGTTCAGTAGTAGTTCAATTCTAAGAAGCATAGTATAGTATTATATACCAAAAATGGCATACTATTTGCTAATAGTTTATTCATTAGTTTAATAAGTATATTTTGATTACATATTAATTATATTATTTTAGACTGCTGCTATGAAACAAAATCGAGAAAGAGAAAAATTGAAAGTGACACACGATAAGCAAATGGAGGACCTATCCAGTGATGTACAAAAGGTATCTAAAAATCAGCGTATATATATATATATATATATATATATATATATATTAATATAATTTATCTTTTATATTACTATTTTATACTGATTTTTTTCTGTTTCAGTTAATCGAAATGTACAAAGTGGAAGAATCAGAATACGAACTGAGTTCGAAAAGTGAATTTTACGCGTAAAACAATTTATTTTACTCAACCCATGTCTGCCTGAATGCTATTTAAAGTTTATGTATATTTTTATTTAATGTAATGTATTTGTTGTAACTTTTAATCGGTTTATTTGTGCATAATTAAATTGTCTACAATATTGTCAATTATTATACATTACCACGAAATATTTATTAATTGCAATAGTAAATGAAGATAAGATTGCACTAAGATTGCTCATAGTTCTATGAAGTTTACACGTACTATAAATAGTTTATCAGGTTAATATGGGTTGATATTTTTGAGTTTTCTTTACCAAAGAAATGGATTGTTACAGACAAAAAAAAATGGAATTGCCAGATTTTTTGATAGAAATTAATTTCTGAATCTCGGGAGCAATTTTTAGATTCAACATGGTTGTCTTGTGTCTATTAATAAATTAATTAATAATTAATGATAAATATGATCGTGATGCACATAGATGTAATTATTAATAATTTGTTGTCTGTTATGTATTTTATTATTTATTGTTTAAGATAAATGAAAGTGTGAATGACGAATGAACCATGCTATATTAACTTTTATTAGCCTTTCGGCGCACTTATTTATTATTTATCTCATAACTTTCATATTGTACATCTAATATAAATAGAATAATTAGAGATTTTGCAGGACTAAATACAGTATGATATTAATTAAGATCATAATGCTGTACAAAAATTCTGTCGATTTATAAATCGCCATAGTAAACAACTTTTAGTCAGTTAGAATTATTTAAGGCTAATATTAGTTAATTTTTTTTAATTGTAACATTTTTATACAAATTAATATTTTTTTTAATATTTCGATGTTCTATTAAATAATAATAAATTGATAACAAGATTTTATTAACTATTTTTGTAGTACTTATGAATATTTATTTGCAAATTTTTGCAAAAGTACACATGTGTGATTTGTGCTCGGATGTACTATATATTGTTGTCATTTTGTTTAATTTTTAACAAGATCTGAATGTTTTAATATTATTTTATTTAAATGTAAGAAATTAAGCCTGTTATATAGGCATTGTGGAAGCCATTGATTTTGAACACTAAGAGAAACAATTCATGAGCTGAAAAGATTACAAATAGTGTTCTTGGAGATCGAAATTTTTGGATTTCGATAAGTTATAAATATTTTGAAATATAAAAAATCAATAGGTTGCTTCACTTCATACATATGTAGTGTTTTTATATATTTACATAGTAAACCTATATTAGCCAGTATACTATTAAGTCACTTAAACCTATATTAGCCTGTATACTATTAAGTCAATAATGACACTTTTATGTATTTATTTTTTATTTCACGTCTAAGTTTTAAAGGGTTTATTTAACATACATAAAGTATTTTGTTCAAAATTAAATATTATATTTTTGACATAATATTATATAGTTACTCTGTACACTTATAGATAAATGGCAATAGTAAATGACTAATAGTCTAAATAGCTAATATGGGTTATATTGTTAATAGAAAATTCTTTATATGAAATTTTCATTCAAGTCTGTATATTTATATAAGATTTATTACATAATGTTCTGTTAAGTTTTAACTGTTAAGAATAATATTATTATGTTTTTAATATAGTTTGTTCCTTAAATGTTCTATTTAGTGTTAAATTTAAGCCTAAAATTTTAATGACGATATTCCAATTGCACTACGGATGGCCCTAATTAATTAAATTAATTTAAACTATAAGTAATTTATTACCATGGACCTAATATTAAAATATAGAATGTCATAAAGTTATAAAATGTTTTAGTTTGATGAACCTATTGCTGATTAAACTTATTATTTTTAATAAATATAAGATTTATATATTTTTTGTTAATTTCGAAAATCGAAAATGAAAATTTTTATATATCTTTACGTTTGAAAGGTTTCTGAACATTTTGGCATACCTTAGAAAAAATGGATGTGTGTGTGTGTGCGGATACAAATTTTCGTCGAAGATTTCAGGAACACCGATCAACCGATTTGAATAATTCAAAAAATATTCGATTCGTATTGATAAGGAGACGTGCTGATTAGTTTTTGGCAAAGTCAGGTCTAGCCGTTTCGAAGATACGGGGCAAAAAGTGCCAAAAACGGTAACTCGGTTTTTAAAAGAACGGAGCGTCCATAATTTAAAAAAAATTTTACTTGTATTGACAAGATGAAGAACTGATCAAATTGGAAGGCAGGTCTAGCGGTTAAGGACTCTCAATAAAAATAAGTTAAATCATTTGGCGGTCAAAAATGTTTATTGGACATCAAATTATCAGATATTTTATAGAGATTTTAATAATATGTACGCATTTTGTAAAAATGTTTTTGGGTTCCGTATCAAGATTTTTAATTACAGTACGGGAAGTTCCTGCAATTTGCCTAAAGGCATGCACGATGCCATGCACCTTGTTAAATTTTATATTCAACAAATTGAAGAAAAAAATATGAAATGAATTAGATAAGAATATAATGACATGAATAAAACGAATACTCTTCTTTTATCTATGCTTATGATAAATGCATAATATTTGTCATAAACAAAAATTTGTTAGTGTGGTAGTCACCTAACAATAGTCGTATAGTAAAAACACACGTGTGCTTTACTACTTTTATGACATTTTGCGTAATGGCGGTTAGTTACAATCCTCGTGTCCTCGTGTGTTTCACTGCCTTGTTTTAAAAAGTTATTTCTGATGTTTAGTGAATGTCATGTGCCGGTTAATAGTGTTTTATAATTGCAATTAAATATAGAATAATTCAACTTAATTACGTTTGCGATTCATATTCAGGTGTGGTGTAAATAACGTTTTGATACTGTGTTTTTCTGTGTTGATATAATTTTGCATATGTTTCAAAGTAATCGATGCACACAGTCTTTGAATATAATTATTCTTTGAGTAAGTAAGGAAACAAGATTTATTATACAAATTACTCACGTTTGTTTTTGCTTGGTAAAGTCCGTGTGTAAAGTTGCACAATTAGCTCTTTATAGGTTGGAAGACAATCTTTTTTAACATAGGAAGGTAAGTATTTAAAATACACTTTATGAATTATAAAGTATAAAATATATATTCAAACATGTTATTGAGAAGTTTGTCATTAACAATTAAATGAATTAAAATGCTGATAGATTTTAATATCAACTATTTTGCTTTATCTCGACTAAAGATTGATGATTTATGAGTAGTTAATCATAGGTGTCTAAATAAGTATAGAAAAATCTCCAAAGATGTATTTATCAATGTGGAAGATTTTACGAAGAACATTCATTCAATGTTCTATTGCAGTAGAAGTTCATTTACAATAGGCCTCTTTGATCTTGAATTTTGAGAATTTATTTCGATAAATATTTAATTTTCTTGAAGATATTTAATTTTCTTATTTGGATTATCATCATATAAATATTCCTTTCTAGGTATGCAAGTGATGACTTGAACCTTCGAGATGCTGCATCTTAATGGCGATTTAGTAAGTTCTTATATATATATATATATATATATATATATTATTATTATTATTTTATTATAAAATCAATCCAATTATCATTTCCTCATTTATTTATGAAAGTATCCATAATATTTACAATGATATACATTGACGTACACTGTGCTAAGTTCTATCTAATTCATTACAAAACTATTTCAAATTTGACTATCATACTTAAATAAAAATATGCAATTAATGGCAAGCGACTGATTAATAGAACTAGACATTTGTAACTTATATTACATAAATAATAATAAATGATTGTCGATAGTACCTATGCCCTTGCAAATAAACCATTTTCATCGACTAGCAATGATTTAATAACTTAAAAATTAATTGGTATAAGTTTTGAAATCTGAATGCTTGCTGTAAAATAAGTTAGACATCTTTGGCTTCTGTTTGCTTTGATGTGTAGCATAAAATGGCAATTTAATGACCTAAACTAAGTAATAAATAAGTCTTATCAAATAAATACTAATACTCGAAGACTATTTCTTTAGGTTGTACAACTAAACACCAGGATTTGGTTGTTGTCTTAAATTCTATAGGTGATCAGCTAAAGCTAGAAATAAAATTATGTAAATTATATGGTAAAATTACAATTAGACTCATATATGAAGACAATCTGTATTGTTTGATAATCCAATTGGTCTTAATATATATTAATTGATATTATTCAAATTAATTGCAACATTTACATAATATTTACACTTTTTTGTGTCGTACACCATAAATTTATTAACACTTTTACTATCAAACACACTCGAGTGGAACCTGTTATAAATATTTTAGTTAAAAAATTTATGTACAGACTATTTTTTTTAGCAATGCTTATGATAAAATTATTATTAATATTCAAGTACATTTATAGTAAAGGTTTTTTTTAATTTTTACATTTTGATAATTAACCAATATTAGCTCTCTTCATGTATTTGCAAGCTCAGACAATTTCATTATTTAACGATTATTCTGGTTGCAGAGTATAATGAGTTGTTATAGGGTGACATCATAAAAAATAATACAGATTATTTAATTAGATGCGAACTTTTCAAATTAATTTATATGAGACGGACAGTTTAAAATTTATGTAACAGGTAATAATAAAATCTACTATCCGTAAGTAGTAAGAGAGTTAGTATGGGTTTGAGTAAAGAGAATATAGTACATGATGTATTTTTTTATTGTTCTTATTATTATATATTAATTTTCTATCGCAGTCATACTGTTTTATATTTTTTATTATCTATCCTGGCTCTTGAGTCCTTTGAAATATATTATTTTTAAATTGAGATTATTTACATAAAATGGCGGTTCGAGATATTTTTAATCAATTCACACACATTTCCATGTATTCACACTGAATTGTACTAACTATGGTATTACTAATAGTATGTGTGTAAGACTAATTATTTAAAAATACTTTGGATTTCATCCAGAACGCGTCCTTGCAATACCATTCTGTACAAGACCGCCCTAGCCTGTCCTCCTGATCTCAGTGACATCCCTGCCGTCTTCTTACCATCATGTCGCTGCTCTTGACGGCTATCCACTCGTTTCGACCAGAATCGAACCAGGTCAGGCCAAGATTGTATCGGCCGTTCAGATTGGCATGCTGGCAATGGGAGAACCACCAGCCGCCTTCGTAGTTGCCAGCACAGTGCGTGTTGGAGATGTCTCGGTCATCATCGATGGCCGAGAATTGCATGTCGTCTTGGTAGGATAAGGCGTCGCTAGCATTGCCCTGGTATCCTGATACTCTCAAGCGATAGCCTTCGTTTCTATTAGCAACTGTGAACACATCGTAATCTGCTGACCAGATGTTGTCATATATATCAGTCATCCTTATCCTAAGCTCGCTGCAGTTGTCGGATGTCAACCTGTGCAAGGCTTCGTTTCCAATCCAAAATTCCGCACCAGGGTTACCAAATCCTGTAGCGTACTCTTCCCAATTTCTGTTGAAATCTACACTGCCATCGTGTCGGCGTTGTACAGTTGTCCAGGCACCAGAGCAATGGGTCATTATAGGCTGCCCAGGCCCGGGGGATAAGAGATACAAGCCTTGTTGGTCTTCAGATTTTTTTATGGTGGTCTCGTTGTTGGATCCACTTGTAGCTTCGGCGCAATCTCGTGGAAGCTTGTTGACTATGTCACGATATTCTCGTTCTACGGTTTCCAATTGTTGGACTAATTGTGGAATGTCTCCTTCTGGCATGTTTTTGTTGACTTCTGGTTTTGTTTTGGAGGATTTTGTATGATTAGAGGGCACCTGGGAGTCTTGCTCGATCTAAAAAGGAAGAAATATAGTTAAATACATTTTTCCAACGATTTTTGATCATATTTATTATGTTGTTTCTAATTTATTTACGATTTTTAACATTTACATTAGCTGCCTGTCTATCGCATGCATGTTCTATTTACGTCACTCGTTTACTTCGGGAATTCAGCAAAGCAAAGCATGCATGCATGCATGTGTAGCAATACGCAATAAACCCTAGTTCCTCCCACGAACACACCCCAAGCCTCCCTATCCGGGTGGAAGCTCCTTCCTAGACAGTTTGAGGGGGTTTTTGGACGTTCGCCTTCGTCTGATTTAATTTAGTGAGCGCGAAGTCGAGGCGTAAGTTGATTTCTACAAGTCTGGTTGTCACGTTTTAGTTACTACTGGTGTAACTAGTTTTATAGCTTTGGGGGGTGGACTGTAGCAATTATTACTAGAACCTCCTATTCTTGCTGGGGGAGGGGGTGAATTTATTATATGACTCATAATAATCTATGTATTTTTTAATGGACTACTGTACTGTCACAATGTTTTGAAGATGTTCTAACAATATTTAGAAAAATAGGTTTTTGAGATTCGACTTATATATCAATTTCCGGAGGATTTTTTATCTTATTAATTCTTTTACTTACTTACTTTATTTATTACTTACTTAGTTTGTGCCTTGAAGAAAAATGATATTTAATCTATTTAAGATGCTTCATAATCTATTAGTTGTAATACTTTCTATGACTAACCTTTTCTTTTCAAATCACTAATTTTCTATCTATTTTTCAGCAAATATAACACTGGGGCTGGACTGGCATACATCTCGAACTAATATATATATTTATTTCTATACTTTATTCACTAAATTATAGTTTGTTAACTATTTACTATTTATATAAATAAATGGTATAAAAGGTATAAATAAATGAATGCTAATGTTAATTTGTGTTTCATTTCTGCTATACTATGATTTAATCTAGTAAAGTATGTTATGGCTATATTTTAATATTTCCTAAAACTATTTATTATGAAGACTGAAATATTGGAGGCGTTATATAAATTAGCCTCGGCGGTTGATTTCAGTAAGTATGCTATGTTTTTGAAACAGAGGACACATTTCTACAAAAGGTCGTTTTTTTTATAGAAGAGTTGAAAATCAATTATCTCACCTTATTGATTCTATTGGCAAGTCGCTCCTTCCTGTGTCCCTCGACAGCTTCCAGCTTCGCCAAACCATCCTTCAAAGATCTGATATCGTTCTTTTCGACGTCCTTGGCGTCCATCAGATTCGACAAACTGACCACTATGGCTTTCATGGAATTCTTCACATTGTCTCCATCTTCTTTGAGAAGATTCTGCTCAGATACAATTTGTGCGTTGCTGAATTCCAATTTGGAGATCTCCTTCTTGTATTCGGGCAGAGTGCGGTCCAGCTTATTCTCAAGATTCTCAACGTTTTCTAATAGTTCTAGCATCGATACACGCAGTTTGTCCATATCACCAACCTGCACTGTTAAATTCATCATGTTTTTAAGGATTTTATCTTGATTGGTTTGGATTTTTTGTATTTCATCAGCTGTTGCTTTTTGGTTAGACATGGCGTCTAGGCGTTTCTCCAAATCGCGTTGGTTTTCTGCAAGTTTCATATTGGTGACTTGAAGATCACGTAGCTGCTTCTTCAAGAATCGGTTGTGTCTGTTTTTGATTCTAGAACTATGTGGGTTGTCACTCTGATAGTCTTTAGTGGAAACGTCCAGACCGATCTGGGCAATATTTAGCTGAAACAGAAAAAGGAATATTAATAATCAAAACCGACGCATGAAATTCTATAAAAGTAAATGAGTTTAAAAACTCCATGGTATAAATTTATAACACGCCCCTGATAATAATTAATCGGATAATCTGCTGGAGCATGATCTATTATGCGAAGAAGTTGGATAATAATTAAATATAAATCTAGTTTTAATTAAAATGGAGTCGTCGGCTTTGAAATAGAATGCAAAATCAATTATTAATTTTAATATTGTATGAAAAACAAACAATGTTCTTGGTAAAAGTGTTGCCTGTTCATACATTTACAAACATATTTTTATTTAAATCGATATCAGATTTATTTGTTAATAATAATTGAAATTTAGAATAAACATAGAGATACTAGGAAGAAATTAGAAAATGATTCTGGAATATATTAAAAGCAGGTTTCTTATAATCTGAAGTAACTGATAGTAAGAAGCTTGGAATAAACTTGAACAAAATTAGGAATGTACTGGGAACAAGCCTTAACTTAACCTTGGAATAAATTGAAAATAAACTGGGTTGCCATAAGTAAGGCATAAGTTTGGAAAAGATTTGGAGTAAACCAGGAAGCAAAATCGGAAAAAAATTTGCACTTCACTACCAAACCAAAATTCCTGCCTGGACATTTGGGAATTGCAATTTGCGGAATTCTGCATAACCGATAAAATTTGCAAGCCGTCATCTGCGCCTATCCGTTCTATAGGAAGTGGGTGTGCTCTACATTGCGTACAGGAAGCTGGTGGCGTGTGCTGGACAGGAAACGCGGTCCAGCAACTGTCTCTCACAGGAAACGGACTTTTACGCGTCGATGAAAACGACCGTTAACTCTAATGGAATATTCAAATTTTTTGCACCATCATTGTAGGAGGAATGATGGGGACATAAGAATCTTGACAAGACACACTGTATGTATTTTTTTAAGCTCATGCATTGTATTATTCTATCTTTTAATAATTTTTAACTGTTTTAAGAAAATGTTTTTTAAATAATGTATAATAATATTTTTGACAACATAAATCCGTATAGCGACTCTACATATTTTAAAATAACTTTTGGATCGATTAGATATAATGTAGAAGTATAATATTGCCGTTTATTCATGTATTTAATTATTATATTGCTTATAAATGTCTAAACTATTTATATTATAAATAGTTATATATAGTTCTATATTTAAATATATGTTCTATCGAAAACTTAATTCATATTTTCTGCACTCTTTGCTTCGTATCACCGAATCGGCTGGACTTGTCTTTGTCAAAAAGTAATCAGCACTCTTCATCAGTAGAAAACGATTTTTTTTGAATATTTTAAATCGGTTCAGTCGTGCGCCCGAAATCATGGACAAAAATTGTATGCCAAAATGTTCAGAAATCTTCCAAACGTAAAACGTAAAGATATGCAAAAAAATTCAATTTAGATTTTTTGACGATTACTATAACTTACCCTAAGGGCAGTTAAAAATAAGTCATGGTCTATATGAATTATTTTATACTATGTATTTATTATATCTGTGTGGGTTCGTTTGTAATAATTTCTGTTCAGTTACTTTCATAAATGCAGGTTATTATCACGTACAATGCCTGATTTACATAAAAATAACGCGAACGAACAGGAATGAAATTATTATTCTCTTCGCCCCCATGTTATGAATATTCATTCAAACCGAACATTTTTTATAAATGTTGCCCCCGAACCGAAAAATCACTGTGGCGAAAATTAATTTGGCGGTCGGATTTAATTAAAATCGGCGGTTTAATTTAATTTCGCAGATAAGCAGATAATAGGGATAAGAAGTACGAAGACAAGTTATAAAATGTATAATGATAAATGATTCATAATTGAAACCGGTGCTTTGTTATATATTTTCAATTGTCATTTTTTAAAGTACTGGATAATTTTATATATTATTTAAATCTCTAAAGAATTTTTGTTCATTTTATTAATGCTCGAAGAACGGTTCAACATCTACAAAGAATATATGCAAATAGAAGAGTTAACCACCTTCATACATAAATAGATGTATCATATATTGTGGTTAAAGCAGCGTCACCCTGATATATGTGGTTCTACACATAAATGGAGTTTCCTAACCCTCCCCATCCCCTGGTCTGACAGTTTTGTTGCTAATCGCTAACAAACATACAAATGGTCAAATATTCTCTCATTGCAAATCGATTTCCGTCCACCATGGAGGACATATGCATCCAAAATAATATGATGATTTATAAATGAGCACTATAGTGGAGGGTGGTGCATAATGGTGTGGTGTGGTCATCTATCCAGAGAACACGTTTCTATATATGTATCTATCTGATATGCTACATAGTAGTACGTTTCGGTTATGACTTATTGCCATTATTCCGGTCGAATGCGAATTGGCTTTTGTCACGTGTTGTTTGACTAAATTATGCCTACAGTGCAGATAGTAGAACGGCTGGTGGAAATACTCCAAATGAAGAGGAAGATAAATTTATTGGTGTAATATTAACAGTACCACAAAATATTGTGTGTTTTATTGATATTTTCTGTTATACGTAGTAAATATAATACCCTATCTGTTGTGGTTATGATAATACTATTTCTTTTCATAAAGTTCACAACTACATTTACCGTTTGCAGAAGCATGTTTACCACAAATACTGTATAAGTTCTTAAATATTTTCAAAATCTCTTAACGTCCAGAGTATTGGATTAGAAAACTCCTAGATTTCGTGAAAATACCATTTTGATGAAGAAACTAAGAAAGATGTTCTTAGTTTCGATCCGACTCAATCCAACTTCTGTTATCTGCTTCATCTATCTGATCCTATCCAGCACTTTCAACATATGTAAAATTATATATCTTCCGAACAATTTCTTCCAGCCCCTTCTTCATATTTTGGGACATTAATCACGCACAGGCCTTTGGAGGATATCAACGCCTGCTCCACCCTGGATATCGGGTGGTTCACGAATTACAATGGCATTGTTCAACCGTCGAATGTTGTACACAGTTTGCTGTTTTGATGATGGCAATTAACGATATTGAGTTAATTTTTGGCACATTCGAGTTAATTTATAGAACTCCTCCTCCGCCACCGAATGGAGCGAGTGTTATTTGTCAACGATTGTTTATCAAAATGCAATTTGGGGGGCGATGGAGGAAAATACATATGGGGATCTCTCTATTCGTTGGTAATGGATAACAGATGATTTTGTATTCATTGAAATGTGTTTAAATGAATACTCAGCTTGGATGGAATATCTCTGTTTAGTTTAAGTGTAAATGTGCACATCTTGTTTTAAAATATTATATTGTACCATTTGACTTCATAAACAAGTTGTTTTAGAATTGATTCTATTATCAGACTTGGATAAATTAATTTCTTTAATGAATCAGCAGAGAAAATTATTCTAATTCGATAAATCAGATAGATACGAGTAAACCCCTTAGCTGTTTTGATTAGGCAAATCAGCAAATACAAGTTTATTGATTAAATCAGCAACTTAATATCTGTAATTTGAAAAATCATCATTTTTAAATAAATAAATCAGCAAATGGATAAATCTATAAATTTATAAATCAATATATGGACAAATCAGCAAAACTATTTCATGAATCAGCTTGAAATATTCAAGCACTCTCATTAATCATCACTTTGAGAGATCAATAAAATAAATCAGCAAGTAATAAACTGTCAATTTTATGGATCACTAACTTCATAAAACAGCAATTTGATCAGTCAGCATACGGAAAATCAGCAAATAGTTGCGCAAGCAAATTTGTGAACTCCGTTAACATGATTAGTAGAGACTTTGGAGTTGAAGTAATTGGAATAATTGGATTGAAGTAGAAAAAGGATAAAAAGACTTTTATCAACCTAATAAATGACTGGTGTCCAGTGGTGTCAAATACCAATTCTCTATCACGTTTTCCCTAAATCTTTCTCGATTTCCACCTATGGTTGTTAGGAAAGTGTTGGATGACTTGACTCCGCAGGTCTCTGAGGTGAACGAGTGAACGTTTCGTGTTAACACGGTGAACTTTTCAGTTTGAATGGTTCCTCGGGAACGTGATAACTTTGCAACACGGTTAGACAAACTTTTAGAAGTCGAGGACGAGGAGCAGGAGGAAGAGGAGGAGGACATGCAAATTTTTGACCTGGTCATTAGATTTTTATGGTGTCGTAAACAATTTCTTTGGTAACTGATATTAGAAGTAAAAACATTTTATATTCTGTGATATATATATATATATATATATATATATATAAACCAAAGTTTAATATTAGTCAAGTTAATAATTTTGCAAACTTCGTATTCGCTGCGGCCAACGCAGAATGCAGATTGCCTGTCCAAGGAGTTTCACGAAAATTCCTGGAGCTCCACAAAACCGAATCATTATTAGTCGAGGGCAGGCAAATATATATATATATATATATATATATATATATATATATAATATATATATAATATATATATGCCATCCAATAGCCGAGCCGTATATCTTTTTCCCCGCCAGGTCTTCCCGGATAAAAGCTGTTTTCCCACAGCTGATCATCCATACCCAAATTGCCAAAATATAATAATGGTCATCAGCATCATATGCTCATCTCAGAATTATAACGATCTCTTCCTCGAAATTACCATATTATTTTCATTTCTCAATCTCTACCACAAGTGCCGACGTACTCCAGAAGTATAAATTAACGGACAGGAGGAGGTTGAGGATGCAAATTATATATAAAAGATTTAAGGATTTTTATTTGGTTCTCATGATGATTTTAAATATATACTTTTGTGATGTCTTTATACTAAAATTGGTCTTTATAAAAAAAAATAGAGTAACTTGTACTTTGTTGTAAATTTTTGTTGCCTATATTCGAGGAGTCTTACAGGATGCACCGTTTGGAGTACGACCTTGTAATTTTAATATTGTATAAGTAGATGTGTTTATTATGAAAAGTATTAAAATTGATGAGCTTTCTAACAACATTTT